TGTGGGGTGGGGACCATTTCAGGGGGAGGGGGCGGTTCCGCAGGAGGGGTTTTTTTTCGTGGGTAAGGTGGGCAGTGGGGTTTTCCCCCGGGAAAACCGGGGCGGGTTTTTGGATTTGTTCCTGTTTTTTTTTTTTTTGGGGCGCCCAGGGGGGGGGGGGGGGGGGGTGCGGGTTCGGGTGGTTGCGTTGCTTGCCGTTTGTTAGGCCCTCTTCGACGGATTTTTTTTGCGAGTGGCTGCTCAGCAAAGCAGCAAGCACACCACACCAGCAGCAGCACTGCTACCAGGAACAGAAACACAACGACCTGAAACTGGGAGACTCATTACAGTCAGGATGGATGGGTCCTGTACCACCAACGAGGACAGCATAGGGTACACGCCCTCGTTCCGTCGGACGCCCCAAGACGCAAGGACAGCATAGGGTACACCTCCCTAGTGCCGTCGAACCCTAAAAAATCACAACCCGTTCGACACCCCGCAGCAGCAGCACCTGAATCGTGATCGTTTTCTGCGCCTCGTCCGAATTTTCCATTCCCTCCTTCGTTGCGACCGCCCGGATGGTCACCGTTCCGATCGTTTTCACAAACACCGAGCCCCCAGGGGGCACCTCGTGCACCGACGCCGTTGTCGTGGAGACGGGATCGGAACCGTCCAGGGTGTAGCGGATTGTGGCGCCCTCGGTGTCGCACTCGATGTGGTCCGTGTAGGACATGACGGAGTGCTGGGCCGTGCCCGTGAAGCGGGGCGTGGCGACCTGATTTTGCAAAAAAATCACAGCGAAGACAAGAAAAGGGGGGTTCGGGGGGGTGGCGGTAAAAATGGGAACAGCGTTCCTGTAGTAGCGTCAAGAGCATACCTGCTTGCTGAAAGAGACTGGTACTGTTGTATACGTACAAACGAACGAATGTGCCGCAAGTCTTCAAGGAGGTTTGGTATGTGAGTCTAATCTAAGAACAATGTTGAATGTGGACGTCGAAATTATCCTACATGTCGAAAAGTCGGCAGGAATCAACTTAAAAAGAGTCAACCACGTGCTCAATTACTGCCGTCGCGTGGCTGTTGTTGTTGTTGTTGTTGTTGTTGTTGTTGTTGTTTTTGTCTTCACGTAAAAAAACGTTCCTCCGTTCTCTCTACCCAGTACCTTCTTCTGTCCGTACTAGTCGAACACTTGACGCGGTCCATTCCTCCCGTGGTCACAGGCTAACTTACCCTGGCTGTAAGATTGCCATTTAAGACCCTACAGCAGTACATACCGTGGCCGGGCGAGACGCTTGGCGTCCCCATCGTGCAACATCGCCTACCGAAGTGCGATGGCCTACCTACCACACAGCTTCGCTAAATATTGCACAAATATTCTCGCCGAAACAGCTGCCACCTGCGGACCCGCAGGCAAGAAACCTCAAGCAAATGTCTGGTGCTACAAACATACATACGAGAAATGACCGGGGTTATTGGTTGTCGCCCGCATGCACGCGACTACAGCAACAGCAAGAGCTCTGCCTTGCTGCTCTGCTTGAATGAAGCTCTCCATCACAACCTAGAGCTTGGTGCAACGCCAAACAAGTGCAAGGGGTTCTGTCTCCTTCTAAGGGGTTCTATCTCCTTCTCCTCCTCCCTTTTCGGACACACCTTGTTGTCGTCTCCCCCGCCTCCCCCATCCTCAACAGGCCCTGGAGTTGCCGCGGCCGCGGGCGCCGGGCTGGCCTCCTCCGCTGCTGGCGTAGGCGCTGGCGTTGCCGCAAGGACCGGTGCTTGAGTGGGGTCAGGAGTAGGTGCCTGGGTAGGGTCGGGCGTGGGTGCTTGGGTAGGGTCGGGCGTGGGTGCTTGGGTAGGGGCGGGCGTCGGTGCTTCGGTAGCATCGGGCGTGGGCGCTTGGGTGGGGTCGGGGGTAGGTAGAGGGGTGCGTTCTGGAGCCGGCGTTCCGTCTTCTTGTTCTTGAGGTGGCTGGTCACCCTCCTGGTCGTCGTCGTTGTCCTTTGCTGCTGCTGCTGCCGCCGCCCTTCGCTTTCGGCTGCCTTTCAGGTTCTGCCTCCCTGCCTGTTGCGTCTCCCGCTGCTCTTCATGCAGCAGCGCCGTCGTCTGTGCAGAGGTTGAAGCGCTACCGCTGCTGCTGCTGCTGTGATGTAGCGGAGTGACCTTCTTTCGGGAGAGCAGCACTCCATGTCGAGAATCGTCCGCTTCGGGGTACAGCCGTGGCCGCGCAGCTGTCGTTGCGCCTTCGCTTTGGTGTTTTCGCTGTCGCTTTGCGTGCGACTGCTGCTGCTGCCATTGGAAGTCGGCAGCAGCAGGGTACTGGTGGTGCGGCTGCGGCCCGGTGTTCCCGCTAAGAGCTGCGTGAGAAGAACCAGAGACTATCCCGCCAGTAACCAACAAGAACGCGGCGGAGACAGCAGTGGCCACGCAGGCTACAGACCGAGCGCGCCGCCGCGCCTGGGCGAGGATACCAATTGGATTCGTCATGGCCTCGTCTTCATGGGATGAGGTCCTCAGTTGTTCTACCCCGCCTCCGCCTCAGTTGGTTGTGTCGCTGCTGTTGTGCGGCGAGAGGCGCGAAAGTTTTCACGCTGGGGGGGCCGGCAGCAGCGATACACGGGTTTTTCATAAGGTTCGGTCTGGATTTTTACAGTCAGAGGAGCTCTGCACACGGGACCGGCACGGATTTCTTACTCGAGACAACTCGAGAGATTTGCGCGTGGCGTGTGTGGGTGCACCAACACACCAGGCCTTCGTCAGCTGTGTGTATCCGCGGACGTCCTGTGCCGACTCGCCCCGCCCCGAGGATCAGTTGCTAGCTTTTTCTCGTCCAAGACCGGTGTCCAAGTTCTGGAGGCGAGAGGTGAGAGAGACAGATGAGGAGAGACAACGACGAGAGCGGTCACCGAAATACGCTGCTGCGTCCCGGGAATTGAGTGTCTCCGCATCTATCTCTGCATCCGGCAGCGGTACAGCTAGTAGTCGGTTTGTTCCCTCTTTTGCGCTAGCTGCTGCGTTGCCTCCACAGCTGCCGCGGCATTCACCGTTCTTTCTGTTGGTGGGGTAGACCGTGGCGGTGGTTTCATCGGAGAAGGGTATTGCCGAGAGGCCAAACCACAACCCATCGAGCATCGTTCATGGTAGGTTTCTCTTTGTGCACAGCACCTTCTTCACGGCACTCTGTGAACGTACATACGCAACTAATTACTGCATACATTACGCATTTCCTGTGTTGGCCAAGTTTTACCGTGAACACGCCAAGCACCACACGCTTGGTGCTTTCTCTTGCTCCTGGGTTGAAGATAGAACTCTACTGTCGGAACGGGTGCGATCGCCTAACCCAACTTCCCCCTGATTGTATGCTCCAATCCAACATGTGTATCTGTACGACAAACCCTGTGAAGGCTAACGCTTCAAAGCATACTGTATTTCTCCGACCCCATCGCCCACCCCTTCAAAAGTGGTGGTACAACTGCTGTACAGCAGTGGTAACAGCAGATACGTTCTACATGTGTTACGATCATCGCCGCCGTTCATGTCCACACGCCCGTGGTACGGAGGAGCGCTTTTACCGCCATTTCAGATCCGGATGCCATAGGGTGCAGATCACCGGGGGTGCAGCCGCTCGTTGAGTCACGCCGCTAAAACCCCACAGCATCAGTGTTTGGATTGCTCTACATGCAAACTTGTAGTCGGTGATGAGGGTACAGCGGTATGACGTCTGATTTGTCCACTCCGGCGTTGAAACAATCTCTTGAAGGGCTTGAACTCACCCCGTTGAGTTCCAATTCTGGGTATACATAGGCAGTCGTGGTAGTATCATGGGTATTGTATACCCACGACCAACATAAGCTGACGTCTCAGCTGCCGGCCTATGGAATCTGATCATCGTGCACTCTTGATCCTTCCGGTCTCCCTGTCTGCCTGCACGCTGTGGCGATACACAATACCGGCAGCGACATTTAGGTAAGGAACCGATCGATCGACCGTCTACGCGCGGCGACGGCGCCCTGCGGTCGGCCCTCCGTTGGCTGCAGGGTTAAATTTATTGGAAGCAGGCCGGCCCCACCTGCTAACGGTTTTGCCGCGAGTAACCTTGCCGTGTGGGTGACTCTTTTGAGCGTTCGTGCAAAACCTACACATACATATCCTAGAGGATGTCGCGAAGGCCTTCCGTCGAGACGGGCGTGAGGAGCAACGGCAGCGGCAGCGGCAGCGGCGGGGGAAGAGCAGCAGAAAACGGCGAGCGCACGCCGCTGCTCTTCGACGACGAGGCCGCCGACCATGACCTCGACCAAGACGACCGAGCCTCGCTCCTGTCGTCCGGAGGACGAGACCCGCAGAAGCGACGCCCCTCCCTCCCCGCCCTCAAGAAGCTCGACCCCTACCCGGGGGACGGGCTCGGGGCGAGGACGGCGAACGCGATGGTGAGAGCAAGGGATCAGCTCGTGGAGACGCTCTGCTGCTCCCCGGTGCAGAGATGGATTGACCGCCACAGGAACAGGTGAACCAGGACGTTTGCACGCATGCTACGGTATCTACGACAGGCGGGCGGGGGTGGGGCGGTGAACATCAAATATCCGCGCGCCAGTGGGGGGGAGGGAGGGGCAAAAAAAAATTCTTTACAATAGTTTCTCTCGGCGAAAATATTTTTCCAGGAGACACTTTTTGAGGGAAGAGAGCGCGGTGCACTCTTTCTCGCGTTACTTGTCGAAGGCGAGCACTTCAAGCGGGGTGGGTAGGTAGGGGGCCTCAGGTGGAGGAAACCGTCTGTGTGACCGCGGATTCGATATAGCTCCTACCCACCCGGCAGAAGCGCTGTGAGTGCTGATTCGCTGATTCAAAAGTGATGAGAAACAAAAGAGTGAATGAGTATGCTGCGCACCAGCTGGTATCCCTGATATCAATAATCACCAGGAAAAATATGTCAACACCTTAAGTTAATAATTAATAATGGTTGCAAAGTAGAATTGATGCCGTGCGTTGCTGTGTACGCCTGTACGCGCACTGCATCTCATCTTCCTGTCTTGTCACTCTGTTCTCGTCTGTGAGTGACGTACGCGTGACGCGCGTGGCCTTTTCTTCGGTGGTCTGCTTCGCGTTCGGTCTGTGCCTAGGGAGTTTCAGCGGGCACGGTGCCGCGGAGAGGTTCACGGCGGTGTAGCTGCTGTTGTACCCTCTCGTGGTCTGCAGCAATCGCTCAAGTTATCCATTTCTTTCTCCAGTACGCCTGCTGGACATTCTCCGCCCCCTCCGTTTTGTGTTTTTCCACGCCTGCTGCTGCTGCTGTGGCGCGGTCGCTCCGCATCATCCCCCCCCCTCTTTTTGTTTATTGTTTTTGTCACAAAAATCACAAAAAATTGATCTCTCCCACAGAGAAGGATCCGGGATAGGTTAGCAATGAATTCAAAGTTCTGCCTGTACGATGCTTTTACCGTCGCGCACCTCTCCACCCCCCCCTCCCCCCGTCCGTGCGTCCTATTGGGAATATGCACCCATCGCCGGAAAACGACAGAGATGAGGAGCTGAACATCTACAGCCTGGCGTCGCTGGCAATCGTCATGTCGTACTTCTCTATCGGGGTGGCTCTGGAGCTGCTGTACACGCCCATCGCCTACTACCTCATCGACGACTTGGGGGCGGAGAGCGGGGTGTATACCGTGTGGGTTATCCTGGTGACCCTGCCCTGGAGTTTCAAGGTACAGCAGTAGTCATGGTCCCGAGAAACGATGGGGGGACGGGGGGGGGGGGGGTACTCATAGCCGTGCATGCCGCAGTCGTGTTAGACCATTGACCTCGCATCCCGACAAAGCCGGGATGGAGCGCGCTGGGTTGTCACCGGACCAGGCTAGCTCATCACCAAGGGGGGGGGGTAGGCACGTTCGCTGAGTGCGATGGAACATTTGCCGCTGTGGAACATATTTGCTGCAGCGGCAGCGCGTGAGCCGCAGCAGTGGGGTCGTGCGTAAATATGCAAGCGGTACATATAAATGTAAATGTTATCCCCCCGCCCGGGAGTTCTCCGATTTGATTGTACTAGTAGTCATGGTGCTCTTGTTTTGTAACGTCATTTTTTGTTCTCGTCCGCCGAGCCCCGGCAGACCACAGCCAAGAGGGCACGTGGATTCAAATACGTGATGAACTCTCCCCCCCCCATTTTTCAGGCGCTTAATTCAGTTTGGTCAAGGCGCTTATGGTATAGGACTTAGAATGGTTATTATAAACCCTTTATGTTCCATAATGTATAGGCTTTACGTAGTGTGACATTATAACACCCATACGATAGAGAGGTGAATATGACCACACTAAATCCTAGACCTTTCTTTGTAGCCCCTTTTAGCAGCAGCAGTCAATCAACAATGTGGTCCTCCTGCAACAGCAAGGAAGGGTATCAGCAAGCAAGCACCTTGTCTGCTGTTGCTGTTCCCTATAGAGAAGACAGGGTTCACAGCAGCAGCAGCATCATGTATAGGCTTTACTACACACACTAAATCTACTACATGAAATGTACCCACAACACACAGTAGTGGTCTAAACCTAACTTCAAGAAGTAAGTAAGAGAGGTGTAAGGTTTCGAATAGCCATATATATGCATGCATACTAAATTCTATACAATAGAACATGTATAGGTTATACTATACCACACTA